ATATATAAACACAGAAGCAATAAACACCACAACTAACACGTCACATATGAACTACAGAGCAGGGGGTCCCTCGTTTGAATCTTGTCTCTGCCAAGATGGCCTTATGCAAGCCACATTTCCCTTGGCTTCAGCTCTCTATTTGGCATGCAGGAACCATAATGCAGAAACTGGGGGGGAGGGGGGGGAGGGAAGGGAAAAACTCAACCCAAGATAACACTGGGAACCAGTAGGGTTAAACTGACCATATATATTATAAAAATACAAAATTTATTAAGGTGTACACATATTAAAATATATTCGGGTTAAAATTTTTTTCAAGTATCAAACTACTAAAAGCATATCAATTATTAATACACATGATGGGTTAACACTTTCCAACTGAAGACCAAACGCGTTTCGGCCTCAAAGGGCCTTCCTCAGTGGTCACTATACAACATAGTATAGACACACATTCAAACATATTTAAAGACCAGATGTTGTATCCTTATATGTTTGCAATTGTGTTGCTGGTATTAATGATGGGCCCTAGGAATGGCCATATTCATTCCAATTATTTTGGTGCTGAGATTTCAAAAGTCTGAATGTGTGTCATTCCGATGGAATGATGAGGGAAGTTTCACCTATTCAGCATACTGTGCAGCTGTTATAAGAGACACTCTGTGAAGAACCATATGACAACCATACAGTCTTTAAAGGCATCCACACTCCTACAAGAGGCAAGGAGACATTTATTAGGAATGGCAGGCTGCAAATTATTAAAGAGACTTAAAGGTAAAGGTTTCCCTTGCTCAAAAGCCAGTTGACAAGCCGATGCATATCACTTCCCAGTTTGGTATATTGAATACTGGGTGGAATCTAGCCAGCTTTTTCAGTTAATCCCCCTCCTTACTACAATTTTTGGCCCAAATGGCTTTCGTCCACAAAGCTCCCATGATTCCCAGCATAGCCCTTTTGATAGTTCAAGGGGACCCCCCCTCCTTTTATGGATGTGGAAAAGCTGGATGTTTGGATGTTAAAAATGTGGATTCACACCCTTATTCAGCCACGAAACTCACTGGATCACCTTAGGTGGATCACCTTAGTACCATTTCAGTTCTAACAAGGAAAATAATAAAAATTGTCTGAGTATGTGCCTTTCTGTCAGTGCTGAAGAATTACAACCAATACCAGTCCATATCAAGAACAAATAACAAGATCAGAGAGCATGTCCTCCTCTGTAACATGGAACATCACTACTTTTCATGTAGAAATCGGATACTGAGGAAGGAAGTTCACCTATTAACTGCTTCACAGGTTCAACAGTTCACACAGCAAAATCATTTCTGTGTAGGGATTATCAAATGATTTAGAATCTTTAACTGCACAATACGTAAAACTCTGCATGGAGATCATTGGACATAAAACGAAGTCAATTTCAAACTTCACTAAACAATCAAGATTTACATTCCTGTAAATCTGTAACATGCGCTCACTGCAAACACATATTTCTGATTACATCCATCATGCAGGTACATACACACACCAGAATCAACTGAGGCTTCTCATCAAACACGCACACTGCTTTTGGACATGCTGTGCAGAAGTTGGAAGCCACACAACAGTCTATGACAGGTCTGTCTAGCTTGTGACCGACCAAGATGTACAACAGCCCACCAGGCTGCCACTGAAGACTTACTGGAAACTTTAACTGGTCTGAAACAGAACTGCCAATTTGGTTTATTCACTGGAGCTTGCCAAATGGAATTTATAACTCCAACACTGTTCCCACTTCACATGTTGCCTATTTGGTCCCAAGCCCAGTTGCAAATGCTGACTTTGCCCTAAAAGGGACGTGAAAGCCATCGACTGTCTCGAAGCAAGAAACTCAGGGACAACCCCTCCCTCATATGTATGACGTATCCAAGACCCTTCTCCCCACCATCTGAGGGTACAGTAGGTAGGAGGGCAAGATGGATCCTTCTCAGAAGTTATGAAGACAGAATACCGGGGGGGAGGGGGGGCTGCATATAGAGAGAACAGTACAAATGAAACTATTCCGGAATGTTTCTGAGAAGGATCCATCTTGCCCTGCTACTTACCGTACCCTCAGATGGTGGGGAGAAGGGGTCATACATATGGGGGAGGGGTTGTCCCGGATGCATTTGGCTGGGCTGGCCACAATGTGTGCAGACCTGAACCATATGGGCCTCACATTACTTGTTTGTTTGGGTTTTCAGCCTGCCTCCTTCTCAAGACAAACAAAAAATACAAAGTCAGATTTCACCTAATTCAATGATATTTCAACATCGCCCCTTAGTCACCAAGTCTCAAAATAACAACATCCTAACCCCTACTTTGGCACCCAAAGGTGCAATTGTATATTTACCTACATGGAAGTAAGCTGCATGAAGTAGGATTTATTTCTGTATACAAAAGGAACAGATTACACCTGCCAGTGCCACAGCGTGACTTCCTTCTGATTCAACATGATTAGGATCAGGCTGGACATATTTTAACATATTGTGAGGACAGACCACAGCAAGTCCAATGCTGTGCATTTAGAAGTGCCCAGGTTCAATTACTCAGAAAAAGAGTGGGTTTTTATACCCCACTTTTCTCTACCTTAAGGCAACTCAAAGTGACTTAATCGCCTTCCCTTCCTCTCCCCACAACAGGCACCTTGTGAGCAATGTTCCCTCTAAGCTGTCGAGTCCTGTGAGCAAAAATTCTACTTTGTGAGCTGCTGGCATGAAAGTTGTGAGTGAGCGATTTGGCTGCTGCATGAATCAGT